TTTTTTTTTTTTTTTTTTTGTTAATCCGAGCTGATCACTAGCCGGGTTTCGAAACAATTGTTGTAGAAAGAACATATACCAAAATAGCAAAGGTAATCTTTTTGTTCAAACACAAAACATATTAAGTACTCCATGTATGTTGTGATATGTTATTGATTTTCGAAAAGTTCGACGGTTTTTTCGCATGTATGAGAAAAGCTGGATCAGAAGAAAAATGGTGGGGAAGCTAAAGATCGAAAGATCGTGAACAGAATAATCAGACGATGGAGATTGTTCGGTTCACTTAAACAGATGCCTTTACTTTTGGATGTTTTTAGTGATGCTAATGGTCACCAAAGAGTTACTTTATTTGAGCCCGGTGGCTCGTCGGTTGAGGTTAAAAAAAAACTTTTGCTATTTCATTCATTCTTTTTTTTTTTTGGTTGTTCATGGTTCATAAATCTGTTTATGAGTATGCTCGAATTTTTTCTTGAATAGAAAAGCAGGTAATAGTGCAAAGCCGGCAAGTCGTGTCTTGGAAGAATAACCGTTGAGAAGAGCTTCTTTTCGCCACAAGCAAGGTTAATTATGTATATCATCACAGAGCATAATTCTTAAATGTATATCGAATTAAATAATTGGATCATTTGCGATTTAGCTTAAAATCCTCTGGTTCTTTTTAGCAATTTAATGTGTTTTTCGGCTTGCAATGTCGTCGAATAATGCATGTCGATCGACTAATCAAAACATTCACATGCATATAAGAGATGTCTTCCGACTTTTAACGTGCCAGGGATTTAAAAAAAAAAAAAAGAAAAAACATCCGAATATTTAATGATGTTTGATAAAAGTTTGTTCCTCTATTTGACTTACAGAGTAATGGAAACCGATCACAAGCTCCTTTATTCGGCGGAATTTCCATTAGCTTTCCTCAGGTGAGCTCAATAAGTTTCGCGACGCGTAAGCATTTTATGAATATTACCAAGAAGCCCTCGACGTATTGCCCGATTACAGAAAAAACCCGATTAACTTTGGAAAAATCGAAGAATGCTCCTCCTTCAAGATTTGTCCTTATGAAGGAAATAACTCTTTATGATACATTCATTTTTCACAGGCTACTAGTTTCAAGCCTTTTGAGCGGATACATAAAACACAAATTATGGTCGTTAGAAAACGAGCCTCTTGATCGTGCTCCAAGTGGCAGCCGGTCATCTTCTGTTAATATCGTATATCGAACCTCGGACAAAGGTTCGAAAATCCTAGCTTGCAGGTAAGTACTTGTACACGGTTTTTGCGGTTTTTGCGTAAAATGCTCGATTTTTTTTTCTTTATTTATGGGACGTAATTTATACTTATGTTCTTGCATGATTTGAGGTTCGGCTTAATATATCAATCAGCCAGGGAAAGCTCACTCTTATGCCTTCAGTGAAAAACATCGGCAATAAGGCATTTTCGTTCACTTTCGCAACTCGTAACAGCTTATCGATTTCTGATATTAGGTTGTTAGTTTTTGTTCATCTGTATGTGTAATTATGTATTACCTTTTTTTAATTACTTAGTTTAATTTCCTTTGCTTAAATATCTACTTATTGCGATGTATAATGATATGTCTTTTTACTAGCGAAGTGCGAGTCGAAGGGCTCGAAACGCTCGATTACTTGGACCACATGATGCACGGGAAGAGGTTTACCGAGCAAGCCGATGCTCTTACTTTCGATGGCAAGGTATATCTTTTTTTTTAATAATTTCATAAGTTTTTTTGATGTGTCATTAATTTTTCTTAATTTTTAATTTTATGAATGATGATGAGATTATGTAGATTATTAATCGTACATACTTAAACACGCCTTCAAAAGTAGCGATTATCCTTTAAAAGTAGCGATTATCGACCATTTAATCATGAGAGGAAGAGAACGTTCGTCGTGCGCAAACAAGGCCTTCCCAATTGTGGTATGCATCGTTAAAATCTTATTTATATCCAAAAAAAAGGAGGTAAAAAATATTATTATTATTATTATTATTATTATTATTTTTGTTATATTTTTTGCAGTTGTGTGGAATTCAGGGGAAAATAAAAATGACAGTAAAAGAATGGTTTCATTAGATTCAGCTGCCATTGAAAACCCAATTGTCTTGACACCATTTGAAGTTTGGAGAGGATTTCAAGAGATAACAAGAGTCTCTTCAACCAAACTTTAGCAGAAAGTTTCAAACTTTAACAAAGCAAACCAAATGGCCGGTGCTCAACCAACCAAACAAAACCTTATATACATGACTTCACGATGAAAGAATCGACAAAAGAGCAGCAACTAATAATGTATCAATCAAGAAAATTAAAGGAACCAAGGGAATTGAAACCCTAACTTTTACTGAGAAGATGATCAACAAATAATTGAAATCCCACAATTCAAGGAAGTCACGATAAACAAGCTAACAAAGATAATGGGTAAACCTTGTCTACAATAAGCAAAAGCCTCGACATATTAAAATAGATTGTTGCTTTGCACCACATGATGCAACATTTTCAATTCTCCTACATATTCAACTACTCAAAAGCTACGGAACTTAAAGGTCAAACTAAGAAAACCAAGACTAAAATTATATAACAATTCTTGGACATAGTTGAAGACGCCAGTTTGAAAGCCCTGCAAGAAGCACCAAAAAAAAAAAAAAAAAAAAAAAAAAAAAAAAAAAAAAAAAAAAAAAAAAAAAAAAAAAAAAAAAAAAAAAAAAAAAAAAAAAAAAGAGGTACATTAGACTACAAGGAAAAAAGCACTTAAGAGAAGCAATCAAGCTGAAATTGCATGAGCATATTGCTAACATCAACAAAGAAATGCAGTCACAAATGAGGAGTTTGTAAAGGGAAATTCGAGCACCTAACCAACACTACGGCAGCCATCCAACTTCAGCTATATTGAATATCAACTTCAACCATCCAACACTACGCTTATAAATGTATTGTTCTTACATAAAATCCTGACATATTTGAAGTGTTAAATGAAATGGTAAATTGTCTCTCTTCTTCAACATCATCTAACGTACCAAATACTAGATATTATTCTTTGATTGATTTCTTAATCACAATATATTTTTATCATTGTAGGAATATAATGAAAGGTTTTGGAGGCTATGAAAAAGCACAAGACAAGCAAGATAGACCGGGAGGAAGAGACTGAATAGCCAAATAAGCTCTTCTTTTCTACTTTATTTTATTTTTGACAATATACTTATTATTTTGTAAATAAAACTATATTTTAGGCTAAATATTTTATGATTATTAGCTACAGAATCCAAAATCCACAATAGACTGTGTGTGAGAAAACAGAAGAAACATGCATTGGATTCGATTAAACTCCAGTCCACGGCATAAATATACAGATGTTGTGAAAAATAATAGGTTCGTTTATACGCAGAAGTCTCATTGTTAACTTAAATATCAACAAAGTCTCATTTAACTCTTTGCGAAGAATAATCAGCCCACAGAAGGAAATCTATTGAATCAGAAAATCAAAATATTATATTCCCAATACCCAACATATCTCATCTTCAGGCTGCATATGAAGAGAATAAAATTGTAAATCCAGAAAAGATATGCATCTAAAACACAATGTAGGACTCATAGAATGTAGGATGTAAAAAATGTCGAGACAAATCACAATGACAAATGATTTAGAAACTTGAGAAATGCTTATCAGATTATCTTCTACGATTTTACGGTCAAAAAGGGCTAGCAGTTGCTCCTTGGTATCTTAAAAGAAACTTCGCTGACAAAGACAGGTCACAATGAAGTGGTAAATGTATAACTAAAAGAAACTTGGATTTACAAGAAATGAACTTAGTTTGAAATCCAAGGGCTCTGATGGCAATAAATACGTTATAAATAATCTTATTCTTCCTCCCCGAAGGAATTAATACATTCTGTTGGAAAAGTTTTTCTCGCTTGAAATTACACACACGCGCACAATGCTAACACAACTTCAAAAGTTGCACTTAAAAAATTGTAGGAATAAGCCATCAATATAAGCATGCAAGTTAGTCAAAAGTCGTTGTATTTTAGTGCTGGACATGCTCATTGCACCCGGTTATTGATTAGGAAGTTTAGGACCAAACAAATAGGGATATGAACTAATGCACCCACAACGACATGTAGCAGAGGCCTTACCTGAACTAACGAACTTCATGCTTCATCAAAATTCAAAAGAACAAAAACAACATAACACTAAAAGCAAATGTCATAGCTGGTTCAGTATTCAAATTCAGATGATTTGGCTTAGGACTTTCCAATGTATAATCTCTTGACCACTGAACTCAGACATTTTCCATGAAAAGATAGGACGTGAGGAATACGTAAAAATAAATTAAAGATCATGTCACAACATTATAGTGATAATATTTTGTTTCCACATGCATCACTTTCATAGAAATATTCAGGGACTAATCAAGGAGATAAGATTTGACATTGGTAGTACAAAAAACCGAGTCGAAGGGAGGAGAAAAATGGATGAATCAATCAACAAATGGAGGACCCCAATTGCATTTGAATACATGAGTGTCCCTTGTCAATCATATAGTATTCCCAGTCAGAATGTATCGATATTATTCAAATAGTTTCCTATGCAAGCTTTCATGTCACATTAACAGTACACTGCAAACGACTGTGTTTGCAGAGGATGGTGAATTAGAGAGATTCGACTTCAGGCAGCCAAGAAAATAAACCACAGAAACATAATACATTAACATCAGTTAAAAACAAAAAAAAACACAAATGAAAAGGAAAAAGGAAAAAAACTGCACCAAATATCGTAGCCAAACAGAAGCAGAGCTCGAGACGTTTTCCTGAGGGTTAATATTTGATATCTATTTTTACTATATAAGAATTCCTCCATCATCAATAAGCATATTAGAACCCTTAATATCACGATGCAACAAATGTCTATTGTGGCAGTGCTCAGGACCCGACAAAAGCAGTGATGCATGTAGCATTTCACCTATCACACAATCAGAGAAGTGCAACAAAAATATAAATTAAAGAAAAAAAATCATAGAAGCAGAAAGATTGAAAGCACACATTTAAAAACCAAAAAAGAATTAGAAATCCCAAAATTTAAGGAACTTCAGATAGACAAGCTAACAAGGACAAACCATGTCTGCAATAAGCAAAGATGATGCAACATTTTTCAATTCTCCTAGCAAGCACTTCAGCTAGACATTCAGTCATTAATATTACCTCTACTTCCTCCTCTTACTTCTTTTCCTTGAGCTACTTTCTACTTCTTGACAAGACCCCATCTCGGACTCAACAAGTTGGGTTATGCCACTTTCTACTTCTTCAGAAGACCCCATCTGGGACTCAAGAAGTTGGGTTATGCCACTTTCTACTTCTTCAGAAGACCCCATCTGGGACTCAAGACGTTGGGTTATGCCAAGTTGGGTCTCAAGTAGGGTCTTAAGTTGGATCATCCGCTCTTGAAGTTGGATCGTGTCCTTCTTCAGTTGGGCCGTGCCCTCAATAAGTTTCGTGCAGTCATCAAGTTTCGCGGTCTCCAGAATTTGGGTCTGAATTTGGGGCTGGCGATCTATGATCTTTTGAACTCTCAATCGGAGTTCGGAGAGGGTTGGAGGCGACTGCATCTCCGCATTTGTTGTCTCGCCTCCAGCAGAATCAGCGGCGGTTGGATTGGGCACTGTAGAGTCTCCGACTGCGAATGGGGGCAGATCAGCCATGGGAGGGAGGATTTGGGAGTAATGGTGGCTAGGGCTAGAGTTGGGGAATGATCAATCTGTCTGTGTGATTGGAGAGTGAGAGAACGATTAAACCAATTTTTATGGGCTGTTGGGCCAAATAATTTGGGCTCCTTGTGTTTCTGGGCTGAGCCATACAAAATTACTGTTATTATTTTGTTGAATCGAAAAAGAGAAATTTGCCATCATTGTCCGTCATTAGTATTTATATTACACATTTACATCTCATATACCAATTTTTTTGTTTAAACATATACCCTAATTTCACGTCAGATCTCACTCTCTCTCTACAAAACTACGTCCAGTTTTTGCACATATAATCTTTTTTTTTGTTAGGCTTCGATCTAAATTTCTGATTGGTTTTTGCAGATAATAAGCGAATAAGAGGAAAATCATAACAGGAGAAAAAAGAAGAAGAAGAAGAAGAAGAAGAAGAAGAAGAAGAAGAAGAAGAAGAAGAAGAAGAAGAAGAAGAACTGAAGACAGAAAGATTAATTATCTGCAGGGCTCAATCAAAATAAGACTTGATGCTGGTCGGGAAGAGGAAAAGCTATCAATCCAATGAACAGAAAAAGCAGCTTGGTCGAGGGGTCAACTTTTTTCCTATTTATAGGACTTCCACCACTTGAGGGAAAACCAACAGTCATATCAGCCACTTAAGGCAGAGGTAATGGGCAAAAACATTTCAGGTGTTAATACACCATTAACTAGTAATTAACCACATTAACACTCCACCTGAACAGTCACATCCCACATGAACAGTCAGGTGTCCAGGTTCATAGTACCTGGAGAGGTCTCACTCGGGTTGGGTCAAAACCCGAGTCCAAGTCCAACTTGATTCGGATTTTTAAGTTGGGCCTAAAATTGCAAATAAATTTGCAGCAAAAAGATATATATATATATATCATTTGGGCCCAAGACCCAAGCCCAACCGCCCAAGTCCAGTCCAATTGCCAAGAACCAAGGCCCAAGTCGCAAGTCCTCGGCCCGGGCCCGAGCTCGAGTCGACCGGTCGACCAGCAGGCAGGCGCGCGCGCGCCCGTCTGGCCGTAGACAACACCAACCCTATGTACATAGCTTTGTGCTTGTTCTAACCTCTCCAACTTTCTTTATTATAATAAAGAGAGTTAATCTCATTTAAGAGTCCAATGTGTGAATGACTCTTGACCTTCAAATCCCACAACCAACATTTTACGTGTCATTTTATAGCTAACTTTAACAATTTATTTCTTACTCACCGGAAATCAGTTTTGAGAAAATAAATATACCACGAGTATCTACTCAGAACGTAGAATTTTTCTACATTATTTAATTCAACTCAAATTAAATATTTAGCCATAAAAAATTCACTCAAAACTGGGTTAAACCTCAGTTTTATAACTGATTTTTCCAATAATTCCCCACATGAGTGGAAATCAAATGTATATGCATGTATGCAGACTCTTGTGCTCAATCCTCACAAGACTCTATTGAATCAGAAAAATTATCTTGTGGCTTTGAACCTTTCTTCGTAAACATCATCGGATGTACTGGTGGGTTAGTGGACATAGTGCCTTGAACCTCGCTAATTAAACAAGTTCGAGTTCGAGCCTTAACGAGCCAAGCTCACGAGCGACTCGTTTCGTTTAACAGCTCTAATGAGACGTACTGTTGTTTATACTCTTTTTTAAAAGTTCAACATTTTCTAACAAAAGTTTGTGTATACCATCTCCCCATTGGCCTTAGTGATCTCGTAATTTCTGCTGCTAAAAACGGCCCATCCTTGTTCGCTGTTGTCGTAGGCGAGGATGTCAATGATTTCCTGCATGATGATATCGTTGTCGAAGGTCATACCGATTTGTTTCTTGGAGTTCAACATGGTCCACAGCCGAAGCCAAATGAACCACATGTAGTCATACTAGTCGACCGAGAAAATGTGGCTCAGCTTTTCGTAGAGAATCACCTCGTGGCACCTCTGAACCTTGTCCTTCGGGTAGCATTTGCCGACGTAAAACATCTCCAGAGGGACCTGAAGAACACCGGCAACAGCACGTGCCGATAAGGTGAACCGTTTGATCCAGTCGATGTCCTCCCCTCCATACCAAAAAAAAAAGTGCAACTTTTTTGTTATGTTTTACTCTGTTTTCTGTGTTTTCATGCCCTGGATTTGAGTTAGTTTTAGCTTATTTTACTTGTGGGATATAAAAAAAAGTTTTACGGGGAGAAGTTTGAGATTCCGCCGCAACCTTTACCAAGCCTTGTTTAGTCTTACTGATATTCGAGTAATCAAAGTAAAAAAAAAAAAAATGCATCAAACACGTATCCATTCGGAGAATCACGTGTCGATGGCATTGACCAGTAGATCGATATTCCATGTGCTATCGGCCCAGAGTGCCCTCTCGCGAGCCTGCGTGAACGGGAAAGCCGAGCTTCAACATATCCACATCATCGACAGCGCG